TTAGGAGCATACGATACTACGGTCATGGACACAATTTTAACAACATCGGTTTTATGCGAAAAATATGATTCCATGGGAAATCTATCACCAAAAACACATATATTTTCAACGATTATGTCATCATTAAAGTCCTTTTGATCTAGTATTGATATGAATCACGCCCCAAAAGCTTCTCCCCAACCAAAAAGAAGTTATGAAATTAAAAGAGTTACCTATGAAGAATCAAAATAAAAGCAAGAAACACATGATAATAAAGATGCAAAGAAAACGATAATTTTAATGTGGTTCACACGATTAGAGTAATTGGTTAATTCACAAATGAGCTATAGAGATATCTTATTAATCGCAGTCGTCAAACACACACTTACTATGTATGGTTACATTCATGCATATACAGGGGCGGACGCAGAAATTAGTAGTAGGGGTTGCACAATTTTTTTTTCCGGTCAAACATAATATAAAACATAAAAAAAATTTCCGGTCAAACATAATATAAAACGTCTAATACAATTTTTTTACTGGTTAAACATAATATAACAATGATCTATTACAATTTAAATTTGTCCTCTTCGTGCAGAGATCTTTTGAAACCGCTCCATTACTTTTTCATTCTCAACTTTTGCAAGTGCTTCGGTCTCGACATTACAAAGCAATGCGTCGTTCAAAAAGTCATCGCCAATTTTGTGACGCAAGTCGGTATTCAAGAGCTTCATCTTTGAAAAACATCTTTCTACACTTGCGGTCACTACGGGTAATATCAAAGCCAACTTTAAAAGCTTATAAACCAAAGGATAAGACCGATGCTTCCCCGTACTAACCATCAAACGAGAAAGGTCGGAAATTCCTTTCAAACTAGTGAAGCGCTCATCTTTGATGCAAGAGTGATAAAATATCTCAAGCTGTTCTTCAAGGTCTATCATATCCGAATCATCAAAGTCATACTTGTATAACTTACCCAACTTCAACAACTTTGATTTGTCAAATTGTGCAAATGAATCACAAGGGCTCAAAGCACCCATGTATTCTAGTAATTGGTGCTTGTTTCACTAAATCGATACCGGTATTCTGTAAGTTGCATATCTATCACCGTGTTGAAGATTTCAACGTCAAAATGGAACTATTAGTCTTTGTAGTCTTACGGTTTCTCGCACCAATATACAACTCTTCCATATCTAAAGTATCAATTTTGTGTGTTTGACAAAAAGAGGATACTTTTGGCAAAATGCTAGCAAACCCTGTGCATCTAAAAGATTGCAATGCCTCCATTGTCCCTCTAACCATCGAAGCCGCTTCTAAAATGTCAAGATCTTTTCTTTGAAGTTGCTTTGACAATGTACCCGTGAGGCGTAAAATGTCATACATCATATGTAAGTAAAACACGAACTCATATGATTTAAAATATGCTAAGATTCCGGACGCTTGTTGACGGTTTGCCAACGACCCTCCCTCCTCTTTCACAAAATCTAAAACTACAAGAACATCCACAAACAACTTCATCAAACTTGTGAGTGTGTTGAAATGTGAACCCCATCTTGTTTCTCCCGCTCGAACAAGTGTAGTCTCTTGATTTAACCCTCTTCCGGTTTCAAGTTCACCACTACACAAGCCTTTTTGCACCCTTTCTCTTGCTTGTTCTCGTATTAAGTCTTTTCTTTTACACGAGGCACAAACAACATTAACCACCAATGAAATTTGCTCAAAAAAGTCACTAACACCATCATGCTTCTTTGCTACAGCCACAACTACTAATTGAAGTTGATGTGCAAAGCACTGTACATAAAAAGCTGTGTCATTCTCTTGTAATCTCAAAGCTTTCAAACCGTTGAATTCCCCTCGCATATTGCTTGCCCCATCGTAACCTTGTCCTCTTATCTATTAAAATTTAAAACAATTAATATATATTAAATTTAAATTGAAATAACAAAAAAGTAAAGAATAAATTACCTGACTAAAACTCAACTTATTACTCGTAAGCACTTCATTTATGGCATTTTTGAGTGTCAAAGAGGATGTATCCTTCACGTGCACTAGTCCTATGAATCTTTCTTTCACAAAGCCAAGACTATCGACATAACACAAAACAATAGCCACTTGTTCCTTTTTTGAAACATCACTAGATTCATCAACTAGTAAACCAAAGACATCTTGACCAATCTCTTCACGAATACTCAAAAGTACTTATTGTGCAAAACATTGCACAAGTTCTTTTTGAATTTTAGGGGAAATTAGTTGATTGTTTTTAGGAGCATTTTCTAAAGTATTGTTGAAAATATCTTCACAGGTCTCTCGAATGACATTTAACACTTCAATGTAAAGCCCTCTATTTTCCGAGTTAACCGACTCGTCATGACCACGAAACGGTAAACCGGTTTTCAATAAAAGTCTAACAACAATAATAGAAACACGTAATCGAGCTTTATATTTGTGGTCCTCCGCTTCGGTTTGCCTCCTCAAGACTACATTAATAGCTTGTTTTTCCCTCATCAAAAACTCACACTTTTCTTTTGCTTTGTTGTGAAAACTATCAACACCACCTACATGAGTACGGAATGCATCTTTTTTATTCCAAGTATCAAAACCTTGGGAAACAAATGCATCTCTCCCTCCTTTTTGTCCCATGAGGTCTCCACACACATAACAATATAAACAATATGCACTATTCTTTTTCACACTATATTCCAACCAATCAAAGTTATCAAACCATGAAGGAACGAATCTTCTAAATCTATCACCTATTTTTTTTTGGGAAACTTATGTGCCCTTACTTGACAAGGTCCTTGAAGCAAATACGCTCTTCTTACTTCATCTCTTATGTTTGATTTGTAACTTGTAATCTTTGGTCTATTCGTCGGGTCCTTTGGAAGATCTTTCAAGTCAACATTATCATTAGGTTGGTTAGAGCATGGTGTTTGTGGAGTTGCATTAGAGACCGAAGGGATTGATTAATTGGTGATTGGTGTTTGTGGAGTTGCACTAGAATTAGGAACGGAAGGGATTGGTTGATTGGTAATTGGTATTTAGGAACATTCTTCACCACTTTCATTAGGTCTTTGTCTTTTGGTAAAAAAAACCACTTAGTTTAACCTATAAAAACATAACATTTACACCTAATCAAACAATGACTTTAATAAACCAATTTGCTTTCACCTAATCAAACAATAAATTCAATAAAACATAGCAATTTCACCTGATCAAACAATAAATTCAATAAAAAACATAGCAATATAACCTAAGCAAACCATATAACTTCAATAAAACAAATCAATTTCACCCAAGTAAATCAATAACTTCAAATAAACATACAATTTCAAATACCTAAAGGAATTGGTAAAACTTACTTGCTTCATTGTAGGGCTTTAAAGTCGATTTTGTTAACCAAAAAAGTAGAAATTGAAGGAAGTCGATTTTGTTACTTGCTTCACCCGATTGGCGATTGTTGAATACTTGAATGTTGATCAATCCAACAATGAAGTCGATGAAGGATTGTGCGAACAGGAGGTCACGACTGTCGACAGGAGCCAAGGTGCGAAGTTTGGAAATCGGAAGTCGAGTGGTCGATTGGATTCTGTAATCGTTTATTTTTTTTCCTTGTACCGATAATATATTACTCAATTAATTAGGATTGAGCTATTTTTTTTACAAGCAATTAGCCCAATTGCTAATTTATCCAATTAATGTTTTATTTTGGGCTTTGGGCAATTGGGTTATTAGACAATAATTGATTAAAACATTGGGCTCATTATTTATTTTTTTTTGCGTTTAGTAATTCCCGATAGAGTGACGCATTTTTTTTTTTACGTAGTTGCACATAATTTTTTTAGTAGTTGCACGGTTTTTTTTTTACGTAGTGGCACAATAGGTAAAAATTAAAAAAAAATGAAATTTTTTCTACTACGTGCGCGGAAGCTAGGTGTTGCCGGTGCCACACCGGGCACCTAGCTAGGACCGCCCCTGTGCATATAGATCTATTTATAAACAGACCTAAAATCTACTTGTAGGCAAAGCTCAAAACATCATCTTCCGAAAACACGCATTCTGGTTTGTGCACCGCAAACATGCTCATCGATCATTATAGACCTTTGACATGGGAAATGTTGCACCTTGCTCCTGAGCACAACAAACCTTGGCTCCAGCACCGTATGTAGCTCCCACATCGGCTGCATTGCAGACATTGGGAAAAAAAAAATCTTCTTGGCGTTGCGCCTCGGGCCATGCAGGGAGTGGCTTCCCCTTCACCCTCACTATAATTCAAGAGGAATATCAAAGCTCCACAACTCAACAACTTCCTACTTGGAGGCTGATGAACTAATCTGTTGCCAAGCTACAAACTTAAAAGAGTTTCCTATTTGAATTTTGATTTGCTTTGTTTAATTTTAGAAATGTTTTTTGGATTTTATTTGAATTTGTTTTGAGTTCAGAACTTATTGTCATTGATAATGACGATGAAAAAATGAAGATGAATAGATGGTCAAGCTATGGGTAAAATAGTAAATTTAAAAAGTAACTCAATCAATATTATATTATTACTGTTGAAACTATAATATTATACTGAAGATTTTATTTTATTTTTTCAAAAAACCTTTTATGGATTGTAATTCAATATATATGCCTCCATCAACTTTTGACATTTGTTCCAATAAAATTTTAATCAAACTTTTAAACTTTACTTATTTGCCATATATAATCAAAACGAACTTATACATAGTTAATCAAATCGAAATGTGTTTCCATATTTCGTCTAAACCTTCACCTTGTTGTATAGTTTGAAATAAAATGTTAAAATAAATGGTTATGGATATATGCAATATAAACATGTAAAAAAATGTAAACAAGCATTCAATTGTGTTTTTGTATCATCCAATTCCCATATATATGACCCAATAAAGATAAAATATATATTTAGCATGTGCAAAAACTAGCACAATTTCCAATGTATTTCCAAATCCTATATTTGTACTCACTTTCTTCTTATATTTGATTATTTGCTTTATAATAACAAAAAAAAACACCAAAAGAAAATAAAACCAAGAAAAACCTCAAAAAGTCATTCCCATACCAATTCCTGTTCCGGTTCTTCACTACCAATTACCATCATCTTCACTCTCGATCTCATTCCGATTCCGATTCCATTTCTTCACTATCATCACCTTCACTCTCACTCTCAGGAAACTCGTCACTATAATTGCTCCAAGGACTTTGGAAACACTCGAGCTTTTCACACACCCCTTCAAGTTCTCCCTCCAACTCCACATTCCAACTCCCTTGAATGTCAAGATGCGTAAGTAACTTACATTTGGTGAGGATTTCAGACACACTGGAATCACCAAATCCACCAAAACAAAGTTCAATACGTTGTAGCTTCGGCATTGTGTCCGCTATGGCTTTTGCTTCGGAATCATCCATAGGTTTGGAATCTTCTATTGGGAGCATGTTTCTTTTCAAGTGAATTAGGGATTTGCATTGGGTACCAAATGTTGCAATGCCTTTTGATGTGATTTTTAAGCAATTGCTTATATCCAAGATTCCAAGATTTGGCAATGGCTTTATGTGCTTTGATATCATTTGGTCCGTGATTCCACTCATTGGGATTTCCAGCACTTTCAAGCATTTTCCACTTCAAAATATACAAAATAAAAATAATAATCATAAATAATAATTTATGGTATAGTTTATTAAAGGTTTTGATGATGAGAAACTAAAATCACCAAAACACCCACGTTCATAATTCAGAAAAATTACAAGAAATATTGCCGATTTAGTCATTACGTACTTTGTTTATCGTGGTGAGTAAAATATCAGTGTATATTTATTAAAAGGTTTTCACAATCAAATAAAATGACAAATCTACCCCCACATGTTCATCCCTTTCATCTTCTTCATCATTTCTTCGTACATTCATGGATCATCTTCATATTCAATACAACGATTCGGAAAACAAATTCAATAGCCACACATAAACATATATATAACAAAAACAAATTAAAATAGAAGAAAATCATCTTCATATATCTTTAACAATAAGCAAAAGCTAAAAATAAGTTCAAAACCGAAGATCACAAAAGCAAAAACAAAAAGTTCTATTCGTCATTTCATCTTCAACGTCAAGACTCAAGAATAAATCGGGAAAAACACCCACAAACCAAAATTGACCTAATAATAAATTCAAATGTGTGAAAATCGTAACTCGGAATCAAAAACAAAAACAGTTTCTAAATGAAAATTGAATCCAAATATTAGATTTTTGTACTCCAGATTTTATATTTGCCTTTGTTTGTGTACGATTTATCTTCGTGTTTGTTCTTCAGTATCAAGATCAATGAAGAAGACGATGGAAGTTTTGGTAATTTCATTTAGTTATAATAATGAAAAACAGAGAGCAACAACACATGATCAAAATTACCAGTTAGCAGCAAAGAAGAACCCAGATTCTCCCATGCGGTAAGCAGACAGACGTTGAACTGACCACTTGCTCCGCCGTATCAGCTTCTTCACCACCAGGTCCACCGCATGACTGTCATTACGACGGCGACACCACGCCTGAACATCGATTTCCTGCCAACAGTACGGCCCAGCCACCACCTCCATCCATGGCCGACACACTAACGGAACACAGCTCACCATTTCTTCCGCAGGTATCCTTACAAAAATCAATGCAAGTATCTCCGGATTCAAACCCTCCCACGGCCTCCTCCGCCGCCACTCCTCCTCCTCACCCAGCGCCACCATCACCGGCGTCTTTTCATTGCTCGATAGCACTACCCTCTTCTTGCTGATCATGTCTGCGGAAAAACCCATTTCGTTGTTTGCTGCTCTGTGGGTTGGTCAGTTGTTTTGTTGTTTTGCAGAGGAGAGAGAGTGAGATTGGAGGTTGACACGTGGCACTCTGGGTCGATCCTACGGTTAGAAAAATCCAAAAAAAGAAGCTGCAAATGGGAATGATTAGTGAGAATTGTTAGTGTACACGTTTTCTTTTTTCGTTATAACCTTTTAAATTATTGTTGTGTATTTGTTTGTTTATAATATGCACATGCATGCATCCAATATGGTTTTTGCATGTATGAATAGATATTGTATGTATATATGATTTTACTAAAGTCATATTTTTATGGTAAATCATTCCACTTAGAGAAATTTTTTGTAATAACAAGTTTTGTTTTTTTGGGCTAACTGAATTGATCGAAATGATACTTATGTGATTTTTATTTAGTTTAATTACATTTGTTTTGAATATAAGTTATAATTTATATAAGACTATACATATATAAGATATTCAAGTTGAAAGTATTTCATATATAAATACTTGATGTTAGAATTATGATGTTTATATAAATATACAAATAATAATAATATAAATTGTTAAATGGCTGTTTTGCAGTTTATGAAATTAAAAATGGTGAAACTCCATTTGTCGTTTCGAAATGTTTAAACAATTAAACCCACACCTTCATGTCATGGTCTTAAGATTTTGGGGCGATTTGTCATTTCGAAAAGTTAAATTCCTTATATATCTCTGTTTTCTAGTGTTTCACAGTTTTTCGTTTCGAATCATATTTTACAATTTTTAGAGTTATTAAAATTTTTTAAGGTTTTGCAAAAATATCATTTTATATTAAATTTCGTTACTTGTTCTTATTTGTCGATTATTTGTTTCAGACAAAGGTGTTGTTTTGTCTCATCACCAAATTTCAAATTGGAAAAGTTCCTCCAACGCATATTATCCAAACATGTTTGGAGAAAAGTATTCTACAAGTTTGCAATGTATCAGTCGATAAGGTTTGAAGATCTAGTTCTTGTATTGGACGTTAAATTTATCCAAACATGTTTGGAGACAAGTATTCTACAGGTTTGCAATGTATCATTAGATAAGGTTTGAAGATCTAGTCCATGTATTTGACGTTGAATTTATCCAAACATGTTTGGAGACAAGTAATCTACAAGTTTGTAATGTATCAGTCGATAAGCTTTGAAGATCTAGTTCATGTCATTGATGTTGAATTTATAGGATGCCAAAATGGACAAGCCTTATACAAGTCTCTTATTTCTATGACCGGTGATCTGGATGAGTGAAATGGATATCATACCATTTAATGTATTTTTTGTTATTTATATTAATTATTGGATCATTGATTAATCATTTGTGTTATGAATCAGCAACAAATGAACATTTACTTCAATGTGTTTTTTTTATAATGAAAAATAGGATTCTAACAAATGAGAACAATAGATCTACTATCACAAAAATGTTAACGGGAAAAACAAAACAAATGGTTAAACATGACAAAAGTTACAAAACTCATAAAATTTCACTAGTCCAACTGCTAGAGCCTTGTATCATGTAGCACTTATTTCCCAGAATGGATCAGTTGATGATGTAAAGGAGTCAATGACATAGTTTTTAAGGAATGGATCACTAGTCCAGCTGCTAGAGCCTTGTATTCTGTAACACTCATTTCACTAGTTCAATTGGTTCTATGACTTTCGTATTCACAACTGTTGGATGACTCTTCCTGCTCTGCTTCCCCATTTCGCAGGCTGCACAAAGATGTTCTTTATCAAACTTCAAGAGAGGAATCTATCGCACATGATCATCAAGAACAAGTTTATTGACGTCTTTAAAATTGAGGTGTGAGAGTCTTCGGTGCCACAACCAACTATCATCTGTAGAAGCTTTCGTAAGAAGGCAGATGGCAAGCTTCCCTTTGATGGGGTTTAGATTTAGCGGATATATCTCGCCTTTTCTCTTAGACTTCAACAGCACAGTTTTGGATTTCTTCTCAATTATCTCTGATCGTTCATCGTCGAACGACACTTTCAAGCCCGTGCCTACAACCAATTGTGATACACTGATTAGGTTGTGTTGCAGGCCTTCCATGTACGCTACCTTGCGAATGGAAAATTTCGCATTCGTTATCATGCCATATCATTTTATTTCTCCAATTGAATTATTGTCGTATTTCACTTTCCCTCCATCCTTCAAAGCTCTGTATTCTCATAGTTCTTCCTTCCTTACAGTCATGTGACGCGAGCAACCACTGTCTATGTACCATTCGGAGAAAAACTGCTCATCACGTATCACCTACAAAAATCAAAGAGATTTAGGAACCCAAAGTTGTTTGGGTGCATGTGAGGCTTTCGCAGAAACAGGAAAAGTAATAACAACGTCAACTAAATAAGATCTTTTAACCAAGGTGGTGCTATCTTTCTTTGTAATTTGAAAAACAACGATCCTATTATCTTTTAAGTTCATATCCTTTATGGATATTTTCCTTTGTGTTGCTTGACAACTTTCTTCTCAACTTTCTTCGCGGACTTCTTAAATGGAATTTTAGGCTCCAAAACTATCTTTCCTTTGCCCTTAACATCTTGCGATGTCTTGGCAGAATTTGAAGCACTTTTGTTTGGAGAAAAGTGAGACTTTGACTTCTCCATAGGTTTCGCTTGTTTGGAAAAAGTAGGGTTTTGAAAAATTTTAGCGTTTGAAACCTGTGGAGATTGAGACTGAGTTCGTGAAAAACTCCTAGGATTCGCATGTGAAGAGACTTTCGCATTTGGATTGGATGATTTTTCTTGATAAACGAAGTTGGGATTTTTGGATCTCCAAAAATGCTTTTTTTTCCTTCAGATTTTTGTTATATCTCTCATTTGTTTGACGTTTTTGAGCTGAAAACTACTCAGAGGATTTATAAACATTAGCCCTAGATTTCGGCTTTCTAATGGGAGTTTCAGTCTATACGGATGATGTATCACTTGGAACATTCTTGGTTCCACTTGGACTCCCTTTTTCGTAGCTTGAGTTGACTTTGTTCAGCGGTTCAGCTACATATATGCCCTTCGTTTTCCAAGAGGTCATTTCGGAGAGACCTTTGGTTTCATCTGCATTGTCAATGGGAGAGGACCAAAAATATTCATCGCATCCATCGACATTGTCTTCTTCTACCAAGGACGTTAGTTCAATTGTCTGATTTTTGTTCAGTCCCTTAGTTGCGAAAACCTGGTTAGGAATAGTTTGAACCTTTAGGAAAACAGTTGCACTTTCTTTCAAAACCTTTGAACCATTTTTAGAAATACGAGCAAACTCAACTAAACTTTCAGAAATTAAAACTTTCACAGGTTCAAGTTCGCTTTTGACAAATTCTGAGCAATCAACCTCATCCTCTACAGAGATTTCACTCATATCACTATCATCATCAAATTCAGATGTATTTTCAACATTAAGTTTATTTTCTGAACTCAACTTAGTGCTTAATGAGTCAAACTTCTGTATAGTATCAGATTTAATTTTCTCTTTGTCATTTTAATCCAAAAGATGTTTCAACATATTTTTCTGATCTTTGGACTGTATGTAAGATTCAATTTTGTCCAGTCCTATTCTGTAAGCATCCGAGACTTCGTCAGATGAAATGATGGATTCGCACCTGTAACAATCTGCATCGATTTCGCCCTCTTTCAATTCAAGAAAGGGCACAATCATCTTATGAATTTTCTTTCCAATTTCACAATCAAGATGTAACTAGGTAATATTAAAATAAAGTCTTCTAGGAATTAAACAAAAAATGTTTCAGTGTTTTAAAAGCACCAAATTATCTATTTGCAAATAAATCAACTCATCCCTAGACCTAGACAAATCCAACTCCAACTTTTCAATCCACATACGCCTCTCTTCACTTTTGTTCGAAACCTTGCCAAGTTGATCGATTAAGTTAGAATTATTTAAACGGGTTCTTTTTAAACTTTCACTGAAACTAGAGACTATATATTTTAGATCATCTAATTCAGTTTCATATTGAGACACATGAATATTTAGAGATGTAAGAATAGTGTGTACCTTTATATCACCTTCTCACACTCGCTGATCTGCTCAGGGACGGGATTCGCAGCGAAACAACTGTTGGAGAGATGGCCGCCTTCAGTAGCATATCCTCTATGCTCCGAAACTTCATTGGTCACCATCAAGCACCTTCCACTGAACTGCGAAACATCATCTTTCGCCACGAAGCTTCTCCCGTGAGTTGGCCTACGAACCTCTTCGTCCTCAGAGTCAGTCGACCACACTTCGACTCTTCCAAACTCATCATCCTATTCCTGCACAATTAAAGTAGGTTTAGCGTCATCAGCACTTTTCTTCTTCTTGATTTCCTCCAGCTTTCTGAGGAAATAAGCCTCATCATCCTCCTCTTCTTTCTTCTCATTCATTCTTTTTAGCATACACTCCTTTCCTAGATGATTTTTTCCATGACAATAATTACAGTCATAACCGGAGTCCCCTACAAGCTTCTTTTCTTTCTTCGCTTCTTCATTTTGAGAGTTGTTCGCACTCTCATCCTTCACCTTCTCAGAACTGTAACTACCCTACCAGTTTCAGTTTTTGTTGCGAACGAAATTCTTCTTTGCGAACCTCTTAGGGTTGGACACCATCATAGCATACTCTTCCTTTGAGAGTTCACAATCGGAGAGATCTGACTCCGAACCATCATCAACAATCTTCTTACCCTTAGCTACAAGAGCCAAAGAACCCATGCTAGAAACAACTTTTCCCTCACTTTTCACTTCATCCTCGTGTGACCTTAGAATACCAACAAGCTTTGCCAAGGAGTGGTTTTTGAACTGCTCATGCGCTTGAACTGTCGACACCACAACATTCCATTCGGATCTTAACCCGTTCATGAATGTGACCTTCTACTCTATCAATTCACGTTTTATATTATGCTTCACCATCTTGCTCACAAGATGGTTGTAACGGTTGAATGTTTGGTCTAGTTTCTCCTCAGGATTTTAAACGAAAGCTGCAAACTCCG